CATAATTTTTATTGCCAAATGAAATTTAATACAAACTAGGTACATTATATACCTTTTAGATCTCATATTAATTAACACTCTATCTGTAGTTTTGTAGTATATAAAAGAGGTAAAAGTAATTATGTTAGTGTGTAGGTATAGGTACTCACGTAATAAATATTCTAATACTGAGTTTAATAATGTAGAACTGTAAATTCACATGAGTCCGTCAATCCGATTTGACTCGCAAATCGAGAAACTTGAATGTGTTATTTTCTATATGATTGAAGTATTTTATTGCCTTAATCTAATCGATTAAGTATAAGCGACGGCACTAATGCAAAAGTGCTGCTTTAAAAATGGTGAAAAAGTACCTCCAATACCAGTTTTCAGTTGACTGAAAAAAATGAAAGTGTTTGGTATAATCGTCATTTGTTTCTGGGCGTTTAATTGCATTATCGCTGACCCTAGTATTTATTATGACCTCAACGATGCCCCTAGATTATTCCATAAGTTCATTGCCGAAATGGGCCGTAATTATAAAGATTACAACGAGTATCTGTTTCGATATGATTTATTTGTGCGATATTTGATAGACGTAAACAAGAGAAATGCTGCACAAGAAGGCGTGAGCTTTGGCATCAATAATTTCGCAGATTGGACCGACGAAGAATTCAATAAAACTTTAGGCTTGGCTACTGTACCGCCAAATCGTAAGTGTTGTTATACAGGGTGGCCAGGGTATTGAGGTTCAAATCAAACCTATAATTTAGATTCCTTACATCCAGGTGTATCTAAATCACCCCCATGGTAGGTAGGTAAGGTGTGGAAGGTTCTCTAACGTAAGTATGTAAGAATAAACTACAAGTGCTCGCCCGAGTGAGAAAAGAATTAAAAACCAGCCATAGGTGATAGTTTAGGATAAATCACAAAATCAACTCTATCTCCTAAACAAAGCAAAATCGTAGAACATACATAGGGGTGATTTAGATACACTTTGATGAAATCTAAATTTTAGTTTTGAACGTCAACTGCCTGGCCACCCTGTATACAATAAAAGATTTTCAATATATGAAATACAATGAAACTTCGTTCAGTGGTTATCTAAATGTTCAGATAGAACATAAGATACTCGTAATAATAAATAATTTAAGGATAATGCAGCTGTATAATTCTTTGTACAGTACTTGTGACAGTACCCGGCAATAAATATTGCACATCGACCTTTTGAAAGAGAATCGGTTAATTTCGGCTCGTAGAGCGTTATCTCTGTCGCACACTACCTATACGATTGACAAAACGTCATTGACAAAACATTATTCAATGAAAATATTGTCCGAACCCTTAGTACCTATTTCTCTTCGACAAATACTTTAACACATTGTGAACCACTTTTCTTTCACGACTATAAAAAGTTTTTAGCAATTTAATTCACAAAATCAATTGCACACATTTAAAATAAAGTTTGTTTACACTTTGACTAAACGTCATTGTCAGTCGTTGTTCAAGTGCGACAGTGATAACGCTCTACAAAACCGAAATTAGCCGATTGTCTCTTTCTAAAGGTCGATGTGCAATATTTATCGCCGGGTATTGTAAGTTGTTTTGTCACACGTTTGAATCCTAAGTACCTACCTATGTTAGGTATTATCTGTTGTGAGAGAAATAAATCAAATTATTTAATTATTATTAATGAAAACAGAGTTTTAATATGACCTATGTAATGAAATTTTAAACTGTTATGTTGCATTTTTTTTTACTATTAATAAAATTATCACGTCGTGAGGGTAAATATTTTATTTACCTTTAAAATAGATATTGTTGCAATAAATCCCGTGAAGTGATAATTTTATGTAATGAAGTAAGTAAATATTAGGTATCAATTGAATTTGAAACATCACTTTTTTAATTAATTTTGTTTAACTTTATTTTTTCCAATAAAAAGACGACTGATGCCGTTTTGTGCACGAAATTGTGTTGCGGTATTAATGTGTAGGTACGCACTCCTTGCAAAATAACGAATTAAATTTTTTGTATCTCTTTTTAGAAGCTAGTTAAAGTTGCTCTGAGGACATTAAGATTGTCATCTGAAGGCAGCAGTTGTTCAATAAAAAAATGTTTAAACATAAAAGTTGAATAATTTCATTCATATCCTAATTTTTAATTATCTTCTTAGGATCGAAAGTCGAGTACTAGAAAACTGAACGTGAACATGAGAGAGTAGGCACTAAGAGGTACCTACCTACTTACTTACGATCCTATAAACAAGTATAAAAAATACATATTTCCTACACTACAACTGCTTAAATAGGTAAAGTAAGATCCAATAGTTCGCAAACGACCTACTCTACATGGGGATTTGCTATGACGGGTCCAGTTCCAGTCACCCTGTATAAATGCAGTTACAAGAGAACGTAAACTTTTAGACTAAGAGCTGGTGAACGCCAGACCTACGTCATTTTATAAAAGCTGAAAGTTTGTCAGCGTATGCTCCCAATATCTTCTATATTATAAAAGAAAGTCGTGTTAGTTACTCCACTTATAACTCAAGAACGGCTGAACCGATTTAGCTGAAAATTGTCAGGGAGGTAGTTTAGAGCCAGGAGAAGGACATATGATACTTTTTATCCCGTTCGAAATAAAAAAAAGTCTGCTTATTTATTACCATTAAGGCGGAACAAAGTTCGCCGGGTCAGCTAGTAGGATATAATGTTGGTGAATTATGAAGTTTGGGTCATGGTGGCTTTGGGAGCTACCCAAAAAAAACTGTCTGGCAAGGAGTTGGAACTGTCAAAACCGTCTGGCTGTTGGGGAAAATACTTCTAATTATTGCCCAAATATTATACATAAAAATCAGATTTTATAGTATAACGTAAGTCTAACTTTTACGGTGGCTTTTTCTGTATATTCAATAGACTGTAATTCTACTTACGTTATACCATTAAATCTGATTTTTATGTATAATATTTGGACAATAATTAGAAGTATTATCCCCAACAGCCAGACAGTTTTGACAGTTCCAACTCCTTGAAATACAGTTTTTTTAGGGTAGCTCCCAAAGCCACCACAACCCAAACTTCATAATTCACCAACATTATATCCTACATTGGGAGCATACGCTGACAAACTTTCAGCTTTTATAAAATGACGTAGGTCTGGCGTTCACTAGCTCTTAGTCTATTTAGAAAACTTGAAGCTGTAAAAAAATCAAGCTTTTAAGCCAACGCAATCTAAAGATAGGGCCATTTGGCCTTATAATCTTACACTTCGCAAGAGAATCGAAACCTTAGGGCAATAGACATTACAATCAATAATGTAATTTTGGAAGAAGCAAGCATTTGTTGTTCTATCACAATAAGTTTTGCGATTAAAAACTTTCTTTACTTACATGTTGCGCAAGTCCGACTCGTATTTGACCAGTATTTTTAGTTCGTGTGTCAGTATTTTTAGTTAGGTGTGGGTGGACAACCGTTTAAATGTAAGCACACATTGTTTTGGTTAGTAGTTTTTTTTTTATCCCCAACGAGAAAGCTCTTGGCCTGTATCTCACCTGATGGTAAGTGACGATCATTGATATTTAATCGCAAGTCAAAAAATCATCCTTTTGCATACTAAAAAAATCCGAATTCTAAGCAAAAATGCTGATTGCACAGCAAAATAATTACCTCAAAATATTAAAATCTTAGCAGCAATTTAAGTTCGTGACGCATTGCTATTTATTTAAAAAGTGAAGCTATTTTATGAATGCATAGCTAATAATAACGTGTGCACAGTAAATGTATTACATCATTTATTTAAAAAAAATCTCTCAATTTTTCTATCGTGCACTGCAGTTTATCTAAATTAAAATCATTTTATTTGTCAAAATAATCGAACGTCCATGCTTGCGTTTTTGGCCAACAGGTATATTTTTGGCCTCGGCAGGCGATGTGACATACTTGGGTCGAATCGCAAGCCCTATAAATGCTTGCATAATATACTTTATTTTTTTAAAAAAAGGGGGACAGTTAGGTAAATTTAACATTCATCCTGGATTTTTTAAATCCATTTCACTTTACACAATACACCAAGTCCGGCGACCTAGTGTCGGCGGCCTTATTTCAAACGAATCATGTCACCGTTTTTGTTTGTCGCTGAAAAGGATCGTCGGGACTGCATTATTGAACGGCTTAAAGTGTAACCCCCTTACTAATAAAAAGTAACACATTTGTTGATCACTGTTTTAAAATGACATTTCCATACTAAACGTCACTTTAAAACACTGTTCAACGAGCGTGTAAGCTTTATTAGTAAGAGGGTTAGAAAAGAGGCAAAATAGATTTTCAGTTCAACTTTAAGAATTAATGCTATACAAAGAATATTATTTTGATTTTATTATTATTAAATTTGCCGAACAAGTTCTCTGAAATTTTGAGACATTATTATTGAGCTACTTTTAAAATGCATATTAGAAATATGTTGCAAGAATAGTTGTATTGATTATGAGTATGAGTATTACTGATGTACGCTCGGTTAAATTTGCTGTGCAATTAGTATATTTGATGAGAAAATAATATTTTTGCACATCAAACAACTTTTTTGTTGCGCGTTTGAGAAAAAAATATAGTACACTTTTGATGTGTATTTTCGTATTATTTATAGTACTAGATTTGTTAAACAATTTGTTTATTTGCAATGAAATAATTTATTTGATGTAAAAGTTATTTAAATTGATGAAAATAAATTGATGTACGATAAGTTATTTGATGTGCGATTAATAATATCCCATTGTTTTTTAGGTTAAGAAATATAAAATATTTTTGGTATGATTTACCTACTTTCACACGCTCTCAATATAATTATGCCCGATTGATTCGCATTTCATAAATCAAGATAAAAGATAAAGAATAGTTTAATTCAAATGATTGAAGTGTCATAATACCTTGTCAAATCGATTTGTAAGCTAGAGGTCTTTATTAATGAAAATCTGGTGTTTATATAAATAGGTCTTAACAATACTTATTAAGTCCTAGCCACTCGGTCCAGTTGAACAGTATGAAGGTGTATAGTGTTGTAGCATTGTTTTCTTTGGCGGCGATTTGCGTTCTCGCCGATCCGCTGGTTTATTACGACCTTAATGATGCCCCTCAACTATTCCATAAATTCATCAAAAAATTTGGTCGTGAATATAAGGATTACAATGAGTACTTAATACGTTATCAAGCATTTGTAAAATCCCTGATTCGTAGTAACAAAAGTAACGCGGAAGATGATCTTGCGACCTACGGGATCACCGAGCTCTCAGATTATACAGAGGAAGAAACGAAGTCGCAATATGGTTATTTACCAGTACCGCCAAGTAAGTACCTACTCCTAAATGAATTAGCCTACTCAATGTCTCAAGGCAACTGACCAGTGTGTGTTGCCAGCGATCACATATGGATCGGTGACGTGCTTGCTGATTATTGGCCTCATGAGAAGGCTCGAAGTCACCCAAAAAGCGAAAATACAGAATAATTATTATCTATACAGTAATACCCCGCTTTACGTGAAGAATACGTTCCAGAAAAAATCGCGTTAACTGAAATTCGCGTATATCGAGGTATATGATTAAACATAGTCAAAATGTAATACAAATCAATAAATGTTAAAACAAGAGTCATTGCACGACTATCAGACGAGCCAAACACGACGGAACAAACGAAACGAACGAGGGAATCCCCGTAGAACAGAGTCGTAAGACGGGGAAGACCAAATTCTTCAATCAGAATGTTCAGAGGAAGCGGGGATTTCCGCCACTAAAGAGAATTAATGACCTGACATTATGTTTATACACATTCTTTCGCGTAATGTGAGACATTTGAAATTATTAAATAATATTACGCGAAATTTGAAATTCGCGTTATAGTGAAACTGCGCATAACGGGGTCACGTAAAGCGGGGTATTACTGTACTCAATTAAAATTTATGTTACTTAAGCAAAATTTAGGGGAGTTCAAATATGCGTTTATGGGATAAACCCCCTCATTCGGGCATTTGACAGGACGTAAGATTTGTAAATCCAAAAGATCTGTTAAAGATCAGTAAATCCATCACAGATTTAACAGTAAATCCACGCAGACAAAAATTTGTTCTAATTTTGTATTTATTTTCAGGTGTTGTTGGTTAAGGCTGCACTGAGGGCAATCATCTGAAGGCGGCTACGAAATATTTCTGCTGTTTCAATAAAAAATGTTTTAAACTTAAAAGTTGAATAATTTAATTCATATCCTAGTAAATAAAACAAGGTGAAGATGTGGAGAGTAAAAGTTTAGTTTATTAATGTTAGGCACTAATAATAATTATCATATACGGGATTGCTACCATGTATTTAGTGTACCTTAATTTTTAGGTAAATAGTAGCAATCCCGTAAATAATAATTACTATCAAGCAAAATTATTTAAAATGTGGGTGGACAATCGTTTAAATGTTGGCAAATATTGTTTTTTAGGTTAAGAAATATAAAACAAACAATATTATAAAATAAACAATATTAATAGTATTAACAAAGCTAACGCGAAAGAGACTCTTACGACTTTCGGCATCGGACCGTTTACAGATTATACAGAGGAAGAAGATAAGACGCTATAATATGGTCTTGCAACAGTACCACCAAGTACCGAAGTACCTACTCCTAAATAAATTAGCCTACTCAATGTCTCAAGGCAACTGACCAGTGTGTGTTGCCAGCGATCACATATGGATCGGTGACGTGCTTGCTTATTATTGGCCTCATGAGAAGGCTCGAAGTCACCCAAAAAGCCACCCAAAAACCCACCCAAATACACAATAATTATTATCTATACTCAATTTAAATGTATGTTACTTATGCAAAAATTTAGGGCGTTCAAATATGCGTTTATGAGATAAACCCCCTAATCCGGGCATTTGACAGGACGTAAGATTTATAAATCCAAAAGATCTGTTAAAGATCAGTAAATCCATCACAGATTTAACAGTAAATCCACGCAGACGAAACTTTGTTCTAATTTTGTATTTATTTTCAGGTGTTGTTGGTTAAGGCTGCACTGAGGGCAATCATCTGAAGGCGGCTACGAAATATTCTTGCTGTTTCAATAAAAAATGTTTTGAACTTAACGTTTACGTGAAGAAAAAAATTTTATCGCACAACACGTCTTCTCACACACAAAGTTGAATAATTTCATTCATATCCTAGTAAATAGATAAAACAAGTTGGAGCACAACGAATGTGGAGTAAAAGTTTAGTTTATTAATGTTAGGCACTAATAATAATTATCATTAACGGGATTGCTACCATGTAGTAGGTACCTTAATTTTAAGTTTCCGATATTTCGGCACTGTTGCAAGCGCCATGGTACCTATAGTAATATTGGAAACTCAAAATTATGGTAAATGGTAGCAATTCCGTAAATAATAATTACTATGTTAGTGACCATAAAAGTTTAAAACAGTATGTGTACATATAGGCTTTGATAAACTCAGAATTAGAAAGTTACGTAAGTTACTGCCTCAATAAAATTTTAATAAAGTTCAGCCAGAGGCACGTGCTCGCGGGAAGTTACATTCGCTTTTGCAGTAACTATTGCATAGTTGTTATATCTGAAATACATGGAATGTGATATAAATACATTATATAGGACATATTATGCATACCTACTTATATCAAATTTAAATTATGTGACATTCGGTTTTAGGAAGTCCATTGAAGCTGAAAATAAGAAATTAGAGCCAAAGCAAACTGCGTTGCGGCGGCGGTGTCGCTGCAAATGGGCCACCGATCACAGCCACCGGTGGCCAGCGACGGCGACTTAACACACTTTTTAATAATGTTATGTATAGACGCACCGCACACGTTTAGGAATCCGGTGGCGGCCACTCGCTACAGTAGTGTCCGCGACTCGCCACTAGTGGTCACTACATGCCACACAAAACCCCGACACCTGCCACTGTCGCACTGCTCCACCCCCCGCTAGAGATGGTTTTTTTTTAAATTTATTTAGGAAAACAAACAACTGAACAATACATTTCTGTAAAAATAGTTCAATAATTAATATAAATACTAAGTAATTGGATAGTCAACAACGTTATCCTACTTTGATAAAATGAACACGCAATGTAGGTACGTATCCTAGAATCTTAATAAATTATTATAAAGGTTGGATTAAAATATTTAGATTAGGTGGATTAGGTACTGATTTAACTAATCCAAATATTTTAAAATATCTATTCCGAATTATTAGCAACGAGCGGGTTATAAAATGTGGCGGCTTCCAGACACCGGTGCTGGCTATCGCTCGCTTCTGACACTCTTAGAAATGTGGCGGTAGCGTGCGACAGCCACCGGTGGCTGTGGTCGGTTTGGCCCATTTGCGGCGACACTTAAAAAGAAGTATCAGTGGCGACTGTCATATGACGATATTGTTTGCTTTGGCTCTGAGGCTGAATAAAATCGATTATTTTAAAAAAGAATATTTAAGCCCTCTAGTAGGGTAGCATCCTATTGACATTATAGTCATTAATTGCAAGGAAAAGGTCTTATCGCACAATTTAAAGAAAAACATCAAAAAATCATTAATTTGTTGTTCCATTACAAATATAATAGTTCTGGAACTAGAAACTATTTCCTCGTAGATACTCGCTTATAAGTTGATCGTACGCAATCCTCGATGCGGGAGTCCGACTTGCACTTGACAGGAATTTCTTAGGTCGACCAAAATTATTTAGTGCGTGGACAATGGATTAAAATTATTTAAAATGTAAGATGTAAACATTGTTTTCTTTGTATGAGAAATAAGGAATATTTTTCGCTATTACAAATTATAAGATTATAACCGTTGGCAAGACCCGCACACGGAAAACTGAAATAAAAAATGCATTGGAAAACAAAACCACAATAAAACGGAAGTGTGCGGTCTTACAAACGCACGACTGACGTCCTCTTCAAAGCATTTGAAACGCTTTCGATTTAATCATCTCTTCCTTATAATAACATTATCAAATCGATTTATATGAAAGAGTTCTTTATTATTAATGAAAATCTGGTGTTTATATAAATAGGTTTTAACAATACCTGCCTACTAACTAAGTCGTACCCACTCAGTCTAGTAACTCGAACACTATGAAAGTGTATAGCGTTGTAGCATTGTTTTCTATAGCGACGATTTGCGTTCTCGCCGATCCGTCGATTTATTACAACGTTAATGACGCCCCTCAATTATTCCATAAATTCATCAAACAATATGGTCGTGAATATAAGGACTACAATGACTACTTAATACATTATCAAGCATTTGTCGAAACCCTGATTCGTATTAACCAGTCTAATGCAGCTTCGACAAGTGCGTATTTCGGGATCAATGAGTTCTCAGATTATACAAAGGAACAAAAGAAACATCATCTGGGTGCAGTAAGTATCTTTTTTGTGACATTATCTTTGCAAATATTTGTTTTGAGAGCAGTGGCGTAGCTAGGTAATCAAGGGCCCTGGGGCAAATAAAAAAATGGGGCCCACTGCAATCTAAACTGGTTAGGTTTTATCAAGTTTATTGACATTAAGCTTACTTACAACTTTCGAATTTCTCTCTATTTATTTCGAAAATGGGAGAAATTTTTAAATTTCAGTTCCATTGAGATTTTCTGGTAAGGATACGGGGGCCCCCCGAGCTTGGGGACCCCGGGGCACTGCCCCGCCTTGCCCCTTAGTAGCTACGCCCCTGTTTGAGAGTTTTGGATTTTGTAATTATTTCTGGCTTTTATTTTTAAAATATCTTTTTTTTTGTAAATGACTGGAGGAGAGTTCACTTTATTTTTTTTATTTTTTTAATAGGTGCCGTATTGAATTCCTTAAGTTTGCTATCTGGTGTCGGCAATGAAGAGCGAAGATGAGTGCAGTTATGCAAATAAATGTTTTTAATACCTTAACTGTAGTCATAATAAAAAAATAAAGAAAAAGCAACAGTAGAAGTTACATTTTCCCTAGATGGTGTGATATTTTACGAACTACGTATCAAGGTAATTTTTTAATTAAATTTCTATTAAATAAATTGTGATCCCAAACTAAATTGATGTTAATGGTCACCCTACACTAACATTTTGGCTTTACCATCAGGACATTTAGAAGTGATGAATAGTATACTGAAGTCGTTAGTGAATCAAATAACCTACTTACTTAAATCAATTATTTAATATAGCTTTTGCCTAAATTTAGTTTGTCAAGGATCGTCATAAATTGTAGTCTATATGTTATTCTGGCTTATCTATCTATACTTATAATAAATATGTAGAGAGGTCAATTCTGTACCTACATGAAATAATATGTATATTTTCAAAATAACTATCCGGGGGTGATTAGTGATCGATACTGATGCCAAAAATGCAATCAGTAAAATTTTTGTCTGTCTGTCTGTCTGTATGTTCCTTATAGAAACAAAAACTACTCGACGGATTTTAACGAAACTTGGTACAATTATTCTTCATACTCCTGGGCAGGTTATAGTATACTAGGAGCAGAGTAGTGATGGGAAATTTAGGGAAAACGGGAGAAGTTACTCCATTTTTTAAGCTTCCGTCGCGTGTGCAGCCTTAATGGTTAAATTTGGAAGGGACGTAAGCTTAGGTACCGTAGAGGTGCACTAAGAAAGGAATTCCCGAAATTCCCGAAATTCCCACGGGAACGGGAATTAGCGGGAAAATCCTTTTGTATGAAAAATCTAAACCGCTTAAGTTAGACGCTTGAAATTTGGCATGCACGTACCTTAGTAAACTTAAAGCTTAGTTACAACAGGATATTGCAAAATTCCCACGGGAACGGGAGTTAGCGGGAAAAAACATTTGTATGAAAAAATCTAAACCGCGTAAGATAGATGAAGGGGGTAAAACGGGATCCACGCGTATGAAGTCGCGGGCGGCCGCTGGTAAACAATAATAATAGTTTCATCAAAATCCGTTGAGTAGTTTTTGCGTGAAAGAGTAACAAACATCCAGACATCCTGACATCCAAACTTTCGCATTTATGATTTGCAAAATGAAATTACTGAAACTTTTTCCATAGTAACTTTTCGTAAAGAGTGTAAAATGTAAACATGAGAACAGTTAATTGCTTGCCGTTGCTATTTCATTTTACAATTATTTGATTTAGCACGCCATTTTTCTTAAACGAGTAGACCAAGATTTAGCTGAAACAATGAAAGTGCTCTTTGCCGTATTATTTATTTTAGCAATTTTTGATTTGGCTACCTCTGGTATAATCCATTACGATGTGCGAGAAGTACCATACTTGTTTCTGAAGTTCGTAAGGGAACACAACCGACAATACAAAGATACTAAAGATGTGCTCGAGCATCAAGCTGCGTTTGTATCCAATTTACTGTTGATAAATAAAGCAAATGCCAAGAATCCATACGCTACGTATGATATTAATAATTATTCAGACTTCACAGATGAAGAACTGAGACATGTCCATGGATTTTTACGTAAGTACCAACATAGATAGGTACCTACCTACTTTTAAAATTTATCTTTCTATCACTGGTTAAGATCAATATTCTCCATGAACACTAATATTTTAGAGAGAATGATATTAATAGCTTTTGTTCTTTTTAGCGAATGTAAGTAAGTCCTGAATAAAACACAAAAATGTTTTAGGATAGCTTCATGGTAAAATAATGGCCAGAATAAATGCATGCAAATAGCTTACAAATGATTCATGGATATACAAAAACTTTGGTAAATGATTTTTTTTTTAAAAATTGGTTGTTCGACCGGATAGTTGAATAAATAGAGCTAAATTAGTTTAATGTTTTATTTCCAATAATATTAAAATCTAATTGCTTTTTTGTCCACGGAAAAGAAGCACAATTTTAAGGAAATTTTAATAAAATACAGTAAAGCGATTAAAAGAATTTTGGTGGCATTTATTTTATGATTGTTTAATGATCCATACAAGATAAGACTGCGGACCCCCATACATAATGCTTGCGGACCCCTTAGGGGTCCGCTGACCACAGGTTAAGAAACACTGGTATAGTTCATTCCATGTGTACCTAACAATTCGTTGTTACACTTTCGTTCAACAAGGGACCAACGCCAATAGTGTGCTGAGCCATAAAAATAACAACTATCACCCTTACAGAAACAAACCGTGGCTTTTTATTCGACCGGCAATCGGTAGGGGAGACCGAGGGGAGTTGTAACAGAGAAGATTGTGACATTGTCTATTGTGTGTGTATTTATTTAATTCAACCGGCAGACAGTGGTGACTGAGATGGTTGCGGCGCTTCTTCTCAGCACTTGCCAAATGTTGGTCTCGATGCGCTGGTAGGGTAAAAAGGTAATGAAACATGTTATGACTCCATAAAAGAACTTTTTTAGGGTTCCGTACCTCAAAAGGAAAAAACGGAACCCTTATAGGATCACTTTGTTGTCCGTCCGTCCGTCTGTCAAGACCCTTTTTCTCAGGAACGCGTGGAGGTATGAAGCTGAAATTTATATCAATTACTCAGGTCTACTGTCCCTTGAAGCTGTGAAAAAATCAAACTTCTAAGCCAACGTAATCAAAAGATACAGCCGTTTATGCCGCAAATTTTCGACACTTGCAAGGGAATCAAAACCTACAGGGTGCTTCCCGTGAACTCAGAATCTTGAAATTTGGTACGAAGCAACGTCTTATAGCATAGATAAAGGAAAAATTACGAAAACCATAAATTTTTAGTTACATCACATAATATACATTTTTTTAATAATCTTAAACTTACTACCCATTTCCTCATAAACGCGTAGAGGTATTAAATTGAAATTCATACCAAATACTCAGGTCTATAATACCTTTAAGCTGTAACAAAATCAAACTTCTATGTCAACGCAATCAAAAGAAACAGCAATTTAAGCTGCATATTTTGAAACTCGCAAGTACTCGCAAGGGAATCATACCTAAAGGGTACTTCCAGTCGACCTAGAATCTTGAAATTTGGCATGAAGCAACGTTTTATAGCACACATTAAGGAAAAATTCCGAAAACCTTAAATTTTTAGTTACATTACAAAATATATATTTTTTAATAAATATAAACTTATTACTTTTTTCCTCATTTACGCGTAGAGCTATCAAGTTGAAATTCATATCAAATACTTAGATCTAATTGCCTTTAACCCGTGAAAAAAAAACATAGTTATGACTCGATTGTTGTAATGAACGAACTTTGTAAACCTTGCAGGTTTGTACGGAACCCTCGGTGCGCGAGTCCGACTCGCACTTGGCCGGTTTTTTTTTATATTTGACGGTTTGTATTGTAAGAACTATTTAAATAGTATCTCGAGCTAACAAATACGCACTTTTGCGAGCTCGCTGATATTTAATAGGTTTCCAAAAATCGTCAATTTCACAAATCTTCTCTGTGACAACTCTCCGCAGTCTCCCCTACTAGCGTAAATTGAAACAGGGCGGGACCGATCGTAGTAGGTACTACGGAGGATTTGACGGACCCTCCACACCCTCGTAAAAAAGCTTCGAAAATACCAAGTGCCCAAGGTTTATCTTGTTTTGAGAATACTCCTAGGAAACGGGAACGATGACGTGGCAATGTTTTGGGACACGTCGTCTAAAGTGATGTGATGGTGAGCGAATGTGTCACGTTTTGTTCAGGATATTATTTTGGAATAGGATTGTTTCAGTTGATATAAAGATAAATAGAATTTCCACAAGAATAACTAGGTATGTAACTATGTGTTTATGTTTGTGTGATGCCAATACGCTACTGTTTTTATTAATTTGTGATCAGTGTAAATATTCTCAATTTTCCTGCAGGCAATATTTTATACATCGAAGTAAATCCTTAATTTCTTTTGCCCACCATTCACTTACTAAAGATTTTGCTGCTCGTAATTTGATGGCACTGATTGAGTTTTAGACTCTTGTACGAGTATGTAGTTTGTTTATAAAGTAGATTGTGTCCGAGAAATAATATGTTTTAGAGCCTTGTGGTGAAATCCCACTGAAAACAAATCAAAGTAGGTAATATGAAACCAAATTATGTTCGAGATACCTATCTTAAAAAAAAATTACAGTTTTCCTTGAATTTCTGAATACAATGGTATAATAGGTAGGTAAGTAAGGTTGGTACTCATTAAGTTTCAAACGAAATAAGTGCAAACAATTATTTGGAACAAGGTGAAATTTCTTATACTAACTTAAATGAGTTCCAATATGAGGATATTTTTCTTATCTCTTGAACTTATTAACATGATTATTAAGAAGATGGCTGTCTCAGCTTAGTAAGAAACTTCGCATGACTTTAAGTTCCCAACTCCGCTAGCTTGGTTCCAGCCACGAGCATTCTTCGTCATGAAAGAGGAACAAAATTAAAGTTTACGGAATTCGAGGTAAGTATAGAGCTAACCTAATTTATATTGTGACAGTTATTGTGGTGGGACCTGATTAAAATTTAAGTTTGCAGTAACTAGGTTAATTGTATGTGCAGGGTAGAGTATCTCGATAAACATGATAATATCTTCATTATAGTTTAGTTATACATACTCGTATGTACTTATAACTACGAATGAAAAAAAAAAGTTTAAATCGTTTCATTCACCATCTTGTTGATCATCAATAAAGCTACATTGACTGAAAATAGCCTATGTTCAGCAGTGGCGATTGATTGATTCCTAGATTGGCATTTTATGAGAGATGACCTGTGGTCCAGTCCTGAATATAAAGTTTGCAGGAATAGCACTGGATGTAAATATTAAAATTCTAATTAAGACATGATTCCTTTAGGAAGATTTATTCAGCATAAAGGTCATAAAACCAACCAGTTAAGTTCTAACACAGGGCGTGTGTGTAAAAAAAGCAGACCGGTGGTAATGGTAGAGCGGCCATTTTTGGTCGTAACTTTTGAATGAGTTGGTACCGGTCCGCGCAGTATGTAAGTCCTCAATGAATCGCTGCCAATCTATCCAATCCGATTGTTCTTATCCCCGCTAAATATCTTCGCGTATTCTAATTATTGTCATAGTTTCATTAGGGCCTTGATTTTTGTGATAGGTAAATGATTAAATGAAAGTTTGAATGTTAAACTTCTTCACGCGCAAACTCGCGCCATAACTGCCAATCGATATTAGTAAAGAGGATCTCTTGATCCTAAAAGCGAACTCAATTTCTATGTTTACTTGGCTGAGTTGCACCACCTAACTTTGACCGTAACTATAACGATAACCGGTGGTTTTTGTATGGAGTTTGACAGATTTTTGACGTTTGTCAGAGTTAAAGTAAGATGGTGCAATCCAGCCTTATATTGCACACTTATTTACTCAAAAATACTCTACCAAAAAATAGGAAAAATAAGTAAACCCATCAGGTAACTTTAATTTAATATTTTATTAAAAAATAATGAGAATACATCGTTTTTTTTTCAAATAGGTACATTGAAACTCTTCTTCAATTTCTGTATGATTGAATTATTTAATCTGAAACAAAAGACAGTATGTTATGTAGGTACGACAATGTTTATGTTTATCTACTTAAGTAATTAAATTATTATTATCCTGCCTGAGTGTACATTAAATACAAATAATACGTGTGAGGTATTTTAAGTAACAAAGACTGTTGTTGTTGCAGCTGACTATGACTCAAATTGACGATAATGACACATACCGATAGCGGTTTAGTTACGGAAAACACAGTAAGTAAATAAACATATTTGGAACATGTTGTATTTTTATCAAATATGTAATTTATTGTAGGTATAATCGATATAAATTACTCAATTTACTCAATTACTCAACAATTCATATTTAGGTAGGTGCCTAAAACTAACCATAATTTTTAACCAATTAAGACTAATTGAATAGTAATAATTAGATTACTAATGCTATAACAGGAAATCATTGTACACTAGTACATATTTAGCCAATATTTTAGTATTATTTACTAAAATAATACTAAAATATTGGCATAATTTACAAAACTCAACTCCGTAAACAAGACCTTACCTGGCCAAACTACGCCGCTCATAGCTGTGATACTGGTAAAAAAGATCTTTGCCACAGACTTAGATCTCAGTCAGCTGTTTGACCTCGATGCCACAATTAAATATCGATGTTCTTTGTTCAACAAAGAAAACACAATAGATAAGTAGGTATGTTAGTGCATAAACTTACATTATAATCACTGTTTCCGCGCTCCGAATCCAAACATTCCTTTTCTATCCTCGTCCGTGTAATCAGCAAACTTGTTTATTCCGAACGTCGCTGATTTACTCTGTTCGTTTTGTTGATTGATTTTACTCAAATTATTTTTGAACGCTTCGTAATGCACCTGTTTGTCAGCGTCATCCTTGTATTCTTTTTGGTAGTCCTTGATGAATGTCTCAAACAACTGCGGGGCTTCATCCAGGTTGTAATACACTTTCGTTGGAGCTGCCATGGCTAGTGCGCAGACGCTAAGTACCAGCACGAGACTGAGTTTCATTGTGACTGTTTACGCCGCAACTTAATACTGACAATCTGACGCGCAGCTGCGGATTCTCTACGCAGTATGGACTATGGATATACTTAGCGAGGAACATGCGCGCTCCACACTTATATAGCAATAGTTATAGCCGATTAATTAGATGGACTAACAGACCACAATGAAACATAACTTCACGGTTATTTATATTATGATTTTCCTTTAAACTTGCATTGTTTTGTTACTAAGAAATTAGATTGAACATATGTACTAGGTAGGTAATTACTAAACGTAAGTAAGTAACTGAATTAATTAAGTATAGACGGTTGTTATGTTGTGTAAATAATCTCTTTACCACGTCTACCAGATTTATAAATGTTATTAAGTAGGTACTAATTATAACTAGTACCACAGAATAATAATAAGTACTACGTACAGAAGTTTTACTTCGCGAAGGTATTTAAAAAAATGTATGCTCAATGTCATTAACAATATGGTGTAATTTAGCTTGTCTCAAGAGTCAAGCAAGTTTGTCAGAAGTTTTGTTGACAAACGTCAGTGATCGGTACTGCGCCGAAGCTATAGGGCTGACTTCGGTAAAATGATGTGACGTGAGGTGCCAATCTGCAGAAAATGGCGGAGGAAATACATGATTTAGCATGAATTATCATGAATAATATTAACTACTTATTTACCTCTCAGTGTCTTCAGGCAACTTAAAAAAGTACATTCTGTGTTTTTATTATTATTTAGGCAGTTAAATACTGCACAGTATTTAGTACACCATTTTCTTTATTTTTTTCCATCATACACAAGAATACGCGTGCGTGAGTCAATGTTCGCTCGTATGTGAGGCCTTGTCGAATAGTACTCTTGTAGGGGGCAATCGTGCGTGTTTTGTTTTCGATGTAAACTCGCGGAGATGAACAGGCCTGCTAGTACTACAAAATACATACATACTAAGTAGAAGGTACCTACTCAACAAGTTGTTGTGGGAACTATTAAAAGACTGTTTTTTTTTACCAACATCGATAAGAATAAAAGAGTGTTTCTCTTTTATATTGGGTAAGTATTAAGGACACTTAAGTATTAGGATAAAAAAATCAAGAAAAATATATTAATATTTATTTTATCTTTCCTAAAAAATCTAATATCATTACTTGTCCTAATTAAACACCATCTTCATATTACACAACGGGATACATTTGGGTAGCAACAACGTTGTTGAGTCAAAGAGATGTTATACTATAGGTTACACGTACATGCTGTTTGACCTCAAGGCGTTCTTGTTTAGTACAGCGAAGCATCAAGATGAAAGTTACAGTCGGTTTTAGAGCATTCCGTTTGCATGACAGGGATCGTGGATTTCATCTCGAGAGTGTGCTTTGTTTTGATGTGGTTGCATCTACGAATGTTCTATATGATTGTGAAAGTCGTAAGTAAGTAGAGTCAGGGTTGACTTTTGTCGCCTTGTATAAACATACAGGGTGGAAACGATAAACGATTTCTAAACTATTCAAGATATCGAAAAACGGTCACACGGTAACAATCAAACGGTACCATTACTTAATAGGTTACAGAATAAACTGGATTATCCGAAAATTCAATGTTTCAATTTATAATAACAAAACATAGAAAAATTTAATTTTTGACGTCATTTCGCTGAAACCAACGAAGGTGACATCATGCTTCCAAATCAAACGTTAACATTCAGACGAGGTAAACGGAACAAAGTTGAATATTTCCCTTTACGGCGTCATACTTGTACTTGTTTTTACTTCCAAGTGGTTCCTGCAGGTTATAATAAAGACGTCTCTAATGAAGAGTGTATAATTAGCGCTTCCTAACTTCGAGCCGAACAAATAATGAGCCGGCAGAACTGTTGCTGAGTGATTTGAAACTTTTCTTTTTTATCATGGACAGTGTACGTGGGCTTTTACATCTTAAGAAGACGACTTTATGATGTAGATAATGTTTACTCATTGAGAAAACGGCTCTATTTTAAGGGTTCCGTACCCAAAATGTTCATGGAACCTTATTAGACACCCGCAGACTAAAGATGGCCGATAGTTTATCATAAAATAATGATTTATTTGCCTTTGAAAAATGTTGTGTGATCTAACAACTAAAGCTTCGTCTGCCGAAAAAATATATTTGGTGTCTGGTGTCTCTAAGGCGTCTCCCTCGCAGGCAATAATGAAGACGTCGCCGATGAGAGCCGTTTAATTAACTCCAAATTAGGGTTGCCACAGGTTTGCTGAAAGTGAAAATGGGCCTATTTTGTGTTAAGTCATTTCTTGGCTTAGCCTTAAGCGAGCTCTGTTTTGAATAAGACGGCTTGAGCACGTGAATTATGCGTTTGCGTGATATTCTTTTGTTTCAACCAAATGACGTCCACTGCTGAACAAATGCTTCTCCTAAGGATTTTTACAACGCGTCCAGGTACTTCCCGCGACCTTCAGCAGATCGAACTTCAGCAGTGGGAGGCCACAATAACTGTAGGCACCATTTCTAATTTCATGTGATACAATTTTGCAGGACTGCAAACGGACGACTAAGTAATGACCTTGGTACTATTACTTATTCTGTGGTAATGTCTAGCTCAAACCGTCTTATAAAAGAGTAATTTAATTAGCTCTGGACTCAAACGACTCCTATTAAAGACCATTATACATCTTTCAAAATAGCTATTTCCATTGTGTATGTAATAATAAAATGATTTCTTAGCTTTAATTGATCTCATTACCTTTGTGTAGCATAAACATTGTTTTTTTTATCAGCATTAACATTTGTCATCGGCTTGTTTGTTTTGCTCTATATCTATGAGAGAGTCTGGTTTCGTCAGTGCATTCATAAATTGAAAGCAAAAAAAATATTGTTATAATTTTACAATTTGTTGAGAGGAATCCGTCATGAAAGTTATGTCAATTGATTGGTGGTGTCAAAAATATTCCCCGTTTCCCTGACATGTCCTGACTCGTGGTAACCCTACTGGCAATGAGGCTGCGGCTCTCTAACTTCGCAGGAGTTCGCGCCGAACTAATAATAATGAACCGACAGACCTCTAGGCGTCAAGTGATTTTAAACTTTTTTCCCTTCAAGTGCCACTGGCAAGGCAAATAATTTACTGCAGCTAATTGTGCTTGGTCTTTTAAATCTGACAACAAAAATAGTAGAGTTCACAAACTAATTACAGTTTAAAACGAGCGTCTAAAAGACGTTGGTTCGGGTTAATAGGTATCAAGACTAGTAGAAACAAGTTCTAGTCTGTTCTTGTAGTTCTCATTTGAATGTTTTAATTTAATTATAAGATCTTGTTTTAAATTTAATATACCTATTAATGTTTTTGTCTTAAAATACATCTAATTAGGCCCTCTCTTTACTCATTTCATTACAATTACTTGCCTTTCTGTTAAATTAATGCAGGTACTTGTAGGTATACTATTTCAATTATTGTTATTCTAATCAAATCAAATCATGCGATGCAAACTTTAAATACTAATCTTTAGCTGTTGATCAGACTAATAAAATGGATAAATTGAGTACGTACTTTAACACTATGTGCCTTTTGTAATACAGTGCAGCACTGTATCAACTGGTATCAACACAATGAACAATAAATGCTTATCTTATCTTTTATAATTAACTTTAAAATTATTCTACGAATTTGCACCTCTATTCCCCAAAGAAAACCCCTATTACGTAAACAAAATAACTTATTCAGCAGTGTCTGTAAAAAACTACGAACGAAGTGCATTTTTAGGTAAGATAGAACTAAATTTTGCTTTGAAGTTTGTAAAGAAGTAGCCTGATTAATTAGTAAGAAAGTGCGCAGAACACAAGCAAAAGAAAAGAAACAGGTTTTGTTTTATAAGAGATAAATTACTTAGAAAAGGTCTATCCCACTTGATCACCTTTATGTGACTAAAATTGACTTCTTATCCATGGCTGATCAAAGTGGAATAGCCATACTCGTACATACTCGTATCAATATTTTTGTCGTCACAACAGTAAAGTCAATATCAAAAATATTTGAAATAGACTAAAAAAAATAGCACTTACAAATCGTCAAATCTTTAAAGAAAAATAATTTAATAAAGACATAAAAAATCTTACAGTTTTGCCATTAAGGAGTTTCTCAAAATCCTTTTGCTCTACCAGCACTTCAAGACCAACATTCGCCAAGAAATATACATAAATGATAGCTTAGAGACAGTAGTGACATACTTTTACTGGTGGACTGCGACTGTTCCGCTTGCCTCGGACGAATTCCCAATATTAGGACAATCGCGGCTTCGTGCAAAGCATTTCCCGACGCAAAAAATATGGACTGTTCTGTTTGAGCTGTGTCAACTGTCTGTAGTAATACTTTTGCTACAGAATAAGTGAAGTATTAATTAATTATAAGCTATGAATCCTCCCATCCATTTACGCTTTCAAGACATTGACTAAGGTCAAGAATATTCTTGAGTAAGAAGTTTCAAGGTTTGATTTGATTAAATGCCGCTTTGAATTAATTAAGTAGGTAGGTAACTTAATTTTAGGTACACACTATATCAATGCTTATACAGCGCAAAAATTGCCAATATTTTTAATAGATGTCTTAAAAGATAGGACTTACGAGTATTTGCAACTGGGCTTACTAAAATATCAAAGTTCGGCATAATATTTTCTAAGTAAAAAATATATTGCGTACTTTTTCTTTCTGAACTTACCAAGTTGTTTTAAATTTTATGGACATGGTTTAAGTAGACCGTTATAAATTTTTGTTATCATCAAGCTAGATAGTCAAAGTTACAGAAAACTTCAATTATTACAGCCTGCGAATATATTTTTTATCTATATAGAAATGAAAGTAGTTAAAAATATATTCCCAGACGCACCATTTTCTTGATTTCATTATTCATAACGCACCACTTGGTACGACCGCAAAAAACCGTGCGAATTTGCATAGAAACCCATTCAATTTTAATTAAACTACAAATAGTGCCTTCATTTTCGAGTTTCATTTGATACATCAACATTAATGCAGTCTCGCCGAGCCAAAAAACATTACTAAATATTCAAACATTCCCTGAATTTTAGCTGAAACGCGATAGTGTTGCCAAAAGTTCGTCGCAGTTAAAACTTTA